ACTGTATGATTCACGAAATCATCAATAAATGTGATGTGACATGAAAATGTGCAGCATATCAAATAAAAAGTTCAAAAATTTCCAACACCTGGTAATTGCTTCAGCTTTTCATAGCAAGCTACTACGTAGGCATTTTGGTTCAGAGAGCTTTCACTGTAGCAAACTTTTTCCTAGGGTGCCTTCACGTTCGTTGAGTGCAGTTTTTTCTGTACTGGTTATGACAGACACTGAGGAAACTGTAAAAGAACATTATTCTTAGATTTTGTACCAGAATAATTTGGAATCGAAGTAGAAAACGAGATCAGTGATTTTTAGGACATAATTAGGTTATACTAGGGAGAGTGTGTGCACATTGTGTTTAAGGCAAAGAGGTATATAAATGAGCTATATGATAATAGGAACATGAGGTGTCCATTTAGCCTATATCTTTGTTCCTATCTCTTTGTATATTTTCTTCTGTCTTACCATCCTTTTCTCTGATTATATGTGGGCTTTAACCTTAAAAAACCGTCACATGATTATGAGAGACGCCATCGTGAAGGGCTCCGGAAATTTCGAACCCTTCGGGTATTTTAACGTTCACCCAAGTGAGAGCCAAAGTGGCCTAGAGCTTTTTGCCCATATCGAATCTGCAGCCGCCGCAGCCGGAACTCAATCCCGCTACCTGCGGGTAAGAAGCCGAGTACCTTAGACACTATACCGTCGTGGCGGGGCCATTCTTTTCCCTCTTTATCACTTTTATTTCTGACACTTTGTTTCTATTTTGTTCCTTTTCACATCTCAAGTCCATTCATAACTCTAGGCTGCTGCTCCTAATTGTCCACGAAAAGTGTTTTTCACAAGTACACCAGCAATGTACACTGTTCACCAGAGTACATGAAGGTCAGAACATCCCTGAAGACCTTCATAATTGCGACCAAATAACCAGAAGGATTAGGGGCTAGATGACGGCCACCAAGATATAGAGGTACAGTAAATAGCGACATGAGCACAGAATGACAATCTGTCTTCAGCCCACCCTACCAAGTGCTTGTGTGAGCTCTTCAGAGACCATGATTAATTTAGCGCACAATATTACACTAGGTTTGTTCACAGCAGAGCTGATATAGGCACCTTCCTGGCCTTGTGTTGTCAAGGCTTCATCCTCGCATCTCTCTCGTTGCCATTCTATAGTGCACCGCGCCATGCGTACATCATTTTTTCCCCTATTGTGCGTCTCTTTTTCTATATCTTTCTTTCTGTCATAATACCCATTTTATGTCTATTCATCGTTTTCCTTCGTTCATTCCTTTGCTCCTATTTTTCTTTGTTTCTATGTATTCCTTCCTTCGTCTGGTATGTTTATGTTCCTTTCTTTCTCTGTATCTATTTATGAACCCGCTGTTGTGGTCTAGTGGTTGCCATGCAGTGACCGCTACAGTGACATTTCCTTCTGTCAACCCTTGCCTGAACGTGTGCAAAATGTTCCAGAGTGAATTCAGTGAAATGACGGTAAAATGGAGTGCACAACATAATCTGGACATGGTTCGCTTCATACGCGGGTGATCCACACGATGTACCATCAGATGGCCCCTTCAAGCTGTGAGAGGCCGTCAATATGCAAGGATATGAAGAACTATTGAAATGAATGCGGGAACAGAATGAGTAAGACAGTTTTGAGGAGACGATCACTCGTAATTGTGGCATAAAACGTTAAATAACGATCGCAACTATTTTTGCCTTCGCACCATCGCGCACGTTAGGGTGCTACTGACTATTTACAGTGTTATGTTTTATGAAAGGAAACACGTGGCCTGCGCGCACCGGTGGCTGCTGGCAGCGCGTTCGATTGGGAGCAAGAGCGACCACAGTCACTTTTCACGTCATCTCGTGGCGAGGAAAACAACCACTCGTTGCTGATATGGAACCAGCGGCAAGATTGCGACTCCCTCTCCCCTGAAGGCGATAACCGGCTCTCTAGTATTCACCTTGAAGGAGGAGGGGTTGAAATCTTGCCATTCTGTACCGGCAACGAATGGTTGTTTTGCTCGCCGCGAGATGACGCGAAAAGAGACTGCTGCTATCGCTCTCGCTTGAGCGCGCTGCCAGCCGCCGCCGGAGCGCCGTGTTCCCTTTCATAAAAATTGACACTGTACATTGTAAGCAGTAGCAACCATGCCGAAAACTACTAGTATATAGAAAGCAGTTCGCAGCCTTGTTCAAATGAAGCTGGGTGCATGATTGGGGCATTAACGTAAATGTTTTTACGCAGACGCGTTAGATATCACTGACTAGAAAGAAAACAGATGAAGCTTCACTAAACCACGCAAGCACTGAAACAACATAACTATATGATTTGAAGACTTATCCGATTGCTTCAAGGTTTTTTCAAGTCTCAGCTAGGTGATGTGGGTCCTAGGTTCCTTCTAGGCTGTTGCTAGACTTTGCCTGGATCAAGTTAGGTTGTTTCTACGTTGGTTCACCGCATATTGAAGTTCGAGTTAAACCATACAGTCACAGATGCGACATGGTTCTGTAAACTCCAGAGAAAGATACTCAGAATGAAACCAAGCGTTCGCACTTCTTATAGGTCTAAGGTCTTATCGTCATTGGTGTAATCCTTCCACCACTTCGAGGTCGTCTCACTGCCACCGTTGCCTCTCCTGTTCCCTTGTGTTTTGCCTTGTAAGTGCTCGAGCTCTTCGGCTTGACATCATAGTTTTGCAGCCATTTGTTGCTCTTAAGGTTTCGTTTTTCGTTTTTAGTGAACCAGTGGTGAGTAATGAGATTTGCTTAATTTCTGTGCACATATTCGCTTGTGTTAATGATAGCTTTCTGAATCGACTCTCACAAAACCGGATTCACTCTACAGCTTCAAAAGTGGTATGAAACCACCACTGTTTCTGTATTGTATTACAGAAAAAAAGTTGGCCTAAGCGCTTTTGATGTCATCACTTTTGTTTTGTCAATTCTGTTTGATGACAACAATGAGCTTTTTGGGTACCTGCCGCCGAATGAGTCTCTTCGATGGAGGGAGGTTTCGTAAAATTATGTTTCAATAAATCTAGTTTTAGCCGTACCGTAAAATCAGGATTCAGTAATCGTGAAACACCCCGTTTACGCGTATTTCACCATGACTGCATGAAATGGGCTCTTTTACACTGTGAGTACAAGGTCCATTTGTGCGCCTGTAGTAACTGAAATATTAGGTGGTGCTATCATTGAAATGTGCGCACCTTTGTTTTTATGCTCGAAGTAGTAGACCTACCCACATCCACTGGATCTGTGATCTCCTTGATTCTTCCACTAGATGCTCCAACAGCTGAACAGAATGAAAAAGTTTTAACTATGATGCAATTCAACACAAATAATCACAATTTGCCCACATTAGCCTCCAAATCAAACTGGTAAGATGTGTGACACCTGCCAACCTTGCAATTGTATGAAAAGACGACTGATATCATAGCCACCTCGGCAAAGCAGACTTTGTAGGTATCAGTACCTTGATCAATGTCTACGAACCCATGCCCCACCGCCGTGGTCTATTGACTCGGCGAAGGTCACGGGATCGAATCCCAGCTGCGGCGGCTTCAATTCCGATGGAGGCGGAAATGTTGTAGGCTCGCTTGCTCAGATTTGGGGGCACGTTAAAGAACCCCAGGTGGTCGAAATTTCCGCAGCTCTCCACTATGGCGTCTCTCATCATTATATGGTGGCTTTGGGTCGTTAAACCCCTCAAATCAAATCATCATCATCTACAAACCCGTGAGCAAAGTGACTTACATATTCATAAATCACAAGTTTTATCTCTCAGGTTACGGTGCAAGAGAGCATTACTTCAGTCTAAACCTTGCCACGTTCGAGTTTGCATACCAACGTCGTCATCAATTACGAGAGAAAAAAGTTTTGCAACTTACGATTATATTAAGTGTAGAGCTCTTCAGGGGCCTGTGTTGTCGTTCATCCATCTCATGTAGCTTGATCACGCTAGCAGAAAAGTGCCAGTACAACGAGGCATCAAAATGAACGAACAAGGTTTAAAACCATTTATTTAAGAAAAATAGCCAAAAAGTAATTGCATTAGACAACTTAACATTCATAAAACGTTTCGCGAATACCAGGCTGGCTCTAGCAGGGTGTGAGTGAGGGTACCATCACCTCGTAGAGGAAAGAGCAAATGGTTCTCCCTTTGCGCCACTTTTTTGTCAGTAAAGCGCGACTGCGCGGCTACATCTGATGGCGGAAATAACCTGTCTGAAGTCGCTGCAGAAGTCGTGATTCTCCACTGCCGTAACAAGCAGGAAGTCTATAAAGGGCAGCCAAATCTACCTGGCAAGTGCCGGACACCAAGTTTATGAGTCTGCCCAACAAGATTCTGCTCATGCCGGGGAAACCCTGCATGCTTACCTGAAACATAGGGGACATTGGCGCTTTGGTATACGGAGCAGTAGGAACTCCCCGAACGGGAATCACTGAGTGCCGCGAGACGCAATTCCTCAGGTTTCACAGTCATGCAGCTGACATATGTTCTTTTTTTTTCATAACCCTAGATAGGAGGATTTCTGATACCATCAAAGCATGTTGCTTTCTTGTTTTTCTTGCACGATTTGCCAGGACACGTGCATAGTCGTGTTCTTCACACGTCAGCCGTTGGTCTTTAGGCTAGTGGGCAGTACTGAGGAATAATTGTTTTTTTATTGCACTGTTATACCGTCTGGCAGAGGACGCAACAAACAATAATATCTTACCTAGAGGTCGTGCTGAATGAGAATTAAATCACTTCTGATTTTCTTGATGGTGGTTTTCTTACTACGCTATGGTTAGCATGAGTTAGCATAACGAATTAACAATATGACGGTCTGGGTGGAACCAAAGAAGTAGAATTTATGACACTTGCTGCATCTACAATTTTTTTCTCTTCCCAAAGAGAACGCAGGGAGTTAATGCAGACAAGAAACAATTTTTCAACACCTCCTGACGTATATTGATTTTATGTCATATGGTCTCTTCATTATTTACAGTAAGCATGAAGGAGTGTTTCCTGATGTCGCTGATTGTGAGTATCAGTTTGGGTGCAACCAAAGAAGAAGAATCTGTCATACATGCTGTATGTGTGCTCCAAAATGGGACACCTCAAGGCTACGTAGAGTTTCACCAGGTTAGTACAAAAAATAGTGTTACGCAGTAAGAACCTAAAAAAATTACGTAATAGCATCCTACCTTGGGGCACAAAAACGTTGAGAACGATGTATACAAAACAATAAAATAGCATGTTTTGGAGGCTGGGTTCCGTTCAGTGTTGAGTTCATGCCGTTTGTACTTTAACTTGAGTTGTCAGTAGCAGTTCTGGGATGTCAGAATGGTGTAACACGTAAATAATTTGGTGCTCAACAAGAAAAGTGAAACTGTGCACTTGCTTGAACTGTTCGCACTTGACTAGCATCAAATCCACAAAAACTCAGTATATGCCCCGATATTGCTACATCTTATTACGGACAAGCATAATGAAGGTATCAAAAAAAAGTGGCAGCAAGCGACTTTTCTATGAACGGGACCATTCGGCTCTGTTTTGAGGTAGAAGTCTCTTTTGAAAGGTAGACAAAAGCTTTCCTTGTGCGCAAATCAATCATATTAGTGTTCATGCTCTCGCCAACTATTACTGAAAACAGAAATGTACAATATAGGGATTGCTAAGATAGAAGAAAGAAATACAGAGAAGGTGGAGGAATAAATGAGGAAGGGCAGGGAGGTTAGAAATACAGATATTAATCTAGAAGGAAGGATGTGCCTGAATATTTCTCTAAAATATTTTAGAGATTTTAATTTAAGCTTATTGAATACGCTTATACGTAACTACCCCCTCTCTGCAACTTAGTCAAGTCTTATAATAATTATAATGACCCAACACTGTTGACGTGTCCAGTGAAGGGCGTTATGAAGTCTGAAACTGCGCCCTTTCGGGGTGTAGAGCAATAACTGCTTGGGTAAAGTCATCACACGGAAGTGCGATAAGAGTTATACCAATTAAATTTGACCAAAAAGCCACACCTTTACATATGCAGGAGACCAATTGCCATAAACCTCAGTGACTTATTGCTAATTCAGCTTTTAAATGACTCACGGTTTTTCCAGTGCAGTTAGTGCTCGTTGTGTTCAATAAGTCTCGGAAGTCAAGTTCGGCACCATATCTCTTGTGAGGGACAAATACCAGCGATAGAGGTATAAAAAGTATAATTATGGCACACTGATTGCCCAGGTGCTGAGAATCACGAAAGGGAGGGTGAAATAGAAATCCTCACCTGCGAATATTGAGAGTCATCTTTTTCGTACTGAATCAGCATAGTGTTGCCCAATAGGGGCTTTTCAAGTTGTTCAAGCATGTTTGAAATATTTCTTTAAAGGTTTAGTATCAGCAGTAGGTTATTTTCTTATCCATTTTTTGCGGTCAAGTAGACTGTCGCCTCCAAAAGTAAAGTTGTTCCTACACATAATTTCTAAGAAAATTTTTTGTCAGCCCCAGTATCTTCTATTTCTGGTCCATGGAGATATACATTGCAATACTACAGGGACTGGTCAGGAGGTTAGGATCCCCCTTTTGCCCTACCCTGCGGGCGACCCATGTTTGCGTGTCATGCCAAAAAAGTATATATATATTGTTTTTTGCAATGCAAACATTCTTTTCACGCTACTGGAACTTAAAAAAAATCATCTCATCTCGTAATTCACGTGAAATAACTGAGAAAGTAATACCAGCCGTAAGCAAATACCATCATAATTTCTAAAATCTATACCTAAGAGGTCAAATTACTGGGGGCAAATTACTTCAGCAACGTAGGCTCTTAGACCTTAATTACGCCACCTAAATTGGACGCAAAACTATTTATTAGTTGCCTGGTGTACCACACTTTTTTTCTGTGGGGATATGCTCGCGTATCTTTTTTGATTCGCGGTTGTTATTTCAAATGAATGTCTGGTAAACCAGGCACAACAGATTCTGGATAGCTGAGCCAGTACGCTTCACAAATTGTCTTTCAATTGTCGCAGGAACCCGGGCAGCATGTGACTGTACAAGGCAACATATCTCACCTAACGCCAGGTCTGCATGGTTTTCATGTGCACGAGTATGGAGACCTCACAGATGGTTCGTTATTTACTAGTTCCCTTTCAACCACAGCTTCAGGTAGGAAAGCTGATGAGTGCACAGATAGCAGATAAATTATCTATTAGGCTTCTTTAAAGGCTCCTATTCTTTGTTTCTAACAACTTTGCCAAGGTGTAATATGTAGAGGGTAGCTTAGTGGCGCATTATGTACATTCTGTGAATTTTCAGCACTAGATAATTCAGATTGTCTATAGAACTCGTATGCCATTTTTATGCGGTAAATTGAGTAACATAGTGAGAAGGTGTAAGGAAAATATGTGAGATGCCTACACTGAGATTATCAGTGACTACGTAGGCTGATATAGTGTAATATCTCGCTACGTTAGTTTCTGACGCTATGAACGCATCCTTCTTAAGTGGTACTTCTTGTTCTATAAGTACTCCTTGAAACTACAGCTGTCCTTCCTCTAAGTGCATGCACGGCTCTGTCAGTATTTACAATTCATGAGGACTGTATCAGACGAAATATGAAAATGGTCATCATAATCACCATCATCATCAGCCTGACTATGCCCACTGCTGGGTAAGAACCTCCGCCATGTTTTGCCAATCAACCCTCTCCTGTGCTTTATGTTGTCATGCTACACCTTCAAACGTTTTGTTCTCATTGGCCCACGTTATTATCTGTATATCTCTCATGCGTTTGCGTTTTCTTGGAATCGAGTCAGTTACCCTTAATGTCCAGCAGTTATCTTGCCAACACGCTACGTTCCCAGCCCATATTCATTTCTTGATGATCTGAACTCTGATATACTTAAACTCTCTTGGTTCCCTGACCCACTCTGATTTATTAGTGTGTATTTAGCTTACACCTATCATTTTCCTTTTATCGCTGGTGGTGTCGTCCTCCATTCAAGTTGAACCCACTTTACAAGCCTGCAGTGTTCTGCTTCACAGGTAAGTGCCGGTAAGTTCTAATTGTACTATACCTTCCTGTTGAGGGATAGTGGTAAACGACTGTTCATGACTTGAGAGTAATTGCCGAATGTGATAAATCACCTAGATTCAAAAAAGCAAAGACAAGAACTGATATGTGAAAAAGCCAATAAATGAACTAGCGATGACAGAAAAAGGCATGGGTATACAAAGTTTCACTTCAGAATACATTCGCAGCTCTAAACTAGGTAACCGACATTAGCATTGATACAATGAACGATATTAGTTTTTATTTTTATCGTCAAAGAGTGTGCAATGGAAGGGGGCAAGTACCATCACTAGACAGAACACTGTCAAACTGTCTCAGGAGGCGAAAGATCTTTTTAAAAGACGACAAATCATGAAAGCCTCAATGCAAATGACAAAATATAGCCAGTGGAGCTTTCAAAACTAATCAGTAGGCGTGAGGTAGTCGACGTCAAAAGGTATAACATAAAGAGAATTAAGCAGGTTGTAAAAAATGCTAGAAGCCTACAAGCAGCGAACGCACACTTGCGCATAGGCAAAAATTGTACTTATGCATCAAAGAACAAGGAAGGAAATGTCACCAATAGGGCTAGGATAGTCGAGGTGGTGGAAGAGCTCTACAGAGAGCTGTAAAGAAGTTGAAGAACCACTATGACATCGTGAGGAACGATAATACCCCAGGGGAGTTCAACAACCTGCCAGTAATGACAGGGGAAGTAAGAAAAGCCAACAAGGAATGCAAAGAAGTAAAGCCGCTGGTGAGGTTCAAGTAATGATGGACCTCCTGAAAGATGGCGAAGAAATTCTGTTAGAAAAACTGGCCACCTTATATGCAAACTGTCTTTCACGGGAAGGGTACCAGAATCTTAGAAGAACGCCAACACCATCTTAATTCTTATGGAAGGAGACGTCAAGGGCTTGCAAAATTACAGGGCGATCATCATACAGTCGTTTTCCTACAAACTATTTTCAAAAATATTGGCAAAATGAAAAAAGGCGGCTTTACAGTTCAATCAACCAAAAACCAAGTAGGATTTTGTGCAGGCTACTCTACAATAGACCATATTCATACTGCCCATCAGGTAATAGAGAAATGAACAGATTATAGCCTTCATAGCCTTCATAGATTACTAGGAGACGTTAGACTCCGTCGAGACAACAGCACTATTGCAGACACTACGGAATTAGGGCACCGAAGAACCCTACATAAACATACCGGAAGAAGTTTGCAGTATATTCACAGCCACCATAGTTCTTCGTAAAGAAAGTGACAGAATCTCAATAAAGAAGAGTATAGAACAGGGAGGCACAATCTTTCCAATGCTATTCAACGAGTGTTTACAGGAAGTTTTCAAGAACCTAGAGTGGGAAGATTTGGAATGAAAGTTAACAGAGAGTATCTTAGTAACTTGCCAATCGCTGATGACATTGCCTTGATGGGTAACTCAAGGGACAAATTACAGCTCATGATTCCTGAACTGCGCACGGAAAGCAGGAAGGAAAGTTCGAAAATGAATATGCAGAAAATTTAGGTGATGTGCAACAGTCTCGGCAGAAAACAGCACTTTGCCATAGGCGAAGGGACTCTGGAATGTGTAAATAATTATGTGCAGTCAAGAAAGGTAGTAACCGAGGAGCATAACCATGAGAGTGAAATAACTAAAAGAATAACAATGGAGTGGATCACATTCAGCAAGCCTTCTGAAGTCATGAATGGTAGTCTGCCGCTAACCCTCAAGAGGAAGGTACATAACAGCTGCATCTTGCCAATACTTACCTACGAATCCGAAATCCGGAGGCTTAGAAAGAGTGTTCAGCTTCAATTCAAGATGACACAGAGAGTGATGAAATGAAAAATAATGGGTGTAACCTTAGGAGACAAGCAGAGAGCAGAGTGGGTCAGCGAGCCAACCAGGGTTAAGAATATCATCGTTCAAATGCAAAAGATATTGACATGGGCCAGGCACCTATCACGTAGGTAGCATAACCGCTAGTCATTAAGCGTAACTGACTTTATTTTCAGAGAAAGCAAACGCATGAAAGGGAGATTTAAAGTAAGGCGGACCGATGAGAATGAAATGTTCGCATGTACCACGTGGCAACGGCAAGCACAAGACCGGGTTGATTGGTGGATCATGGAAAATGTTTTGCTCAGCAGTGGGCATAGTCAGGCTGTCAATGACGACAATGATGATGCGAAATCTATTCCACCCCATTCTTATTTATCTGGTTTCTTCATTTTCACGGTTCGGCTTTAGGGTTACGTAGCTGTTCTATCTAGACATGTTGTTTTAGAACTTGCAGTGTTTTCCCACCTCACCCAATGCGCTGTTCAGTACCAAGACTGTTCTTCGTTACTTTTGTTTTATTGATACTGACAAATTCTTACCTCAAGGTACGCGTGCTGGCTGATACTTACGCCCTCCGAATGGTTTGCGACATACGTAGAGGACCCAACCGCCCGCAACCTGTGCAAGACACAAGAAGCGTAGAGGAAAAAAGAAGAGGAAGTGAGTTCTCGGGACTGCTAGGAGATTTTGCTCTAGCTGTTGTTTTTCCTTCTCGAGCAAAAGATCGCTCTCGCTACGGTAGTTTATAAAAAGTTTTGTATTAACTCTGCGTTACAAATTTGTTTAAAGTGCTGGGTATAAGGCAAAGTCCCTCTCAAGTGACGGAACACAGTCTAGAACTACACAAACATGAACCCATCCAGCGGACTTGTTTATCGGCACTGCAGTTGATACCTTCGTAGTGATAGTCCTAAATATTTACCTTTGTCGACTTCTCTTAGCTCATCGACTGCTGTGAACGGGTACGTAACCGACATGACAGCTCACGTAACTTCAGCTAACACTGCAGTATAGGAGCCATTACTAACGAAACCTTTCCATGGTGGCAACCGCAAGGACTCAGAATACTGGCTTGAACAGTTTGAACACGTCGCAAAGGCTAGCGTATGTGTGGAAGATCGTAAACTTTGAAGTGTTTACTTCGCGCTTGAAAATAGCGCACGAACGTGGTACGAAAATCATGAAGCTGCCTTTCAGCCATGGGATCACTTTCGATTGGTGTTGCTCGTTGCTTTCCCGAATACTAGACCACAAAGATAGAGCCGAAGCTGCTTCCAGACAACAAACCAGTGCAATAACAAAAGTGTGGTCATGTGTGTGGATGACCTAATTCAGCTATTCCGCCGAGCGGATGCAAATATGAGTAAAAACAGGAAGCTGCGTCATCTGATGCGACGGATGAAGCATTAAATTTTCGTCGGACTAACCTTTGTTCCGAGGTGACTATGAAGGAAAGAACGCTACAACAGAAAGCAATGATATACAACCGGTATGTGAACATCACCTCTCTGAACCTTTTTCCACCAGTCTTCGGAAACATCATAGAAGCATTACGTGGGGTAATAGAGTCTGTTGCGCGGGAAAAGCTTCGGAAACAGCGCCTTCACTGTAACGCTCCGATGCTTTCGTTCCTGACAGGCGTGATCTATGAGGAGGTTAGGCAGGCAGTACAGGAACCTCCGAGTAACACACAGCCGGAAGTGTCACTACAACAACAGCCGATAATGACCTCTGCCGATGTGCTACTGCGAGGATCTCCCAGGACGTGCAGTCTTCGGAGCCGCTACACCTATGCAGTACCCGATGCCGCCAAGCCCCCTGCAGCCTTCGCCTGAGAAGAGCCTTAGGAGGAGCGATGTCTGACGCACTCCCGACAGAGTACCCCTTTGTTACCACTGTGGGGAGGCTGGTTACCTCTACCGAAAGTACCACTACCATCAGGCAGGACTACGTTTCTTTCGATTGAATGATTGATCTGTTGGTTTTAACGTCCCGAAACCACCATATGTATATGAGAGACACTAGAGGGCTCCATAAGTTTCGACTACCTTGGGTTCTTTGACCTGCATCCAAATCTGAGCACACCGGCCTACAGCATTTCCACCTCCACCGGAAACGCTGCTGCTGCCGGGATTGGATCCCGTGACCTACGGCTTAGCAGCCGAGTACCTTAGCCACAAGACCACCACGACGGGGCAACTACGTTGCTTTCCTATGAATGCACCT